AGCAAAGTATAAATATGCAGCAATTAGCAGCTTTCTGTACTACAAACAGTACAAGGAAGCCAACTTAATCGGGCAACTGTAGGAAAAAAAATATTTCTCTTTGAATGGACGCCTTGAACTGATCAGCTGCTTCCTGCTATATGGTAAGTATTGCAATTGCCGCTTCTCCACAGCAGGGGCAGGAGAAATTCAGTTTGTAGCTATGCTAAAAGTTTTATCTATGCTATTATAAGGCAGTGTCACACTAGGCTACTATCTGCTATTTAGTAGTGGCTAGTGAAGTAGCCGCTAGTAAAACTGTCACACAACAAATGTCGGTAGCGGCTACCTAGTAGCAGCGATTCAGCTAGCCAATGTCATTCCTGCCTTTGAACAGGTAGGAAAATTTTAGAAAAATGCCTTCTGTGCCAGTACCATTTTTTGAGACTTCTTAATTTGATTTCCTTCCTTGCGATAACTGTCCCTTATTACTTTAATCTTCTTTTTGAGCCCATGTAATTGCACGGGGCGAACCGGAATATTCTACAGGCTTAACAGGTTACGCTGGGTTGACGTATGTATGTTGCAGTGAGCCACGTCCGAACTATAAAATAACTATTATACTGGGCTGATTTTCGGCCCAGTGTTACCAAAAGAACGTATGATGAGCATTAACAAAAGCTCGGTCTGGAGAAAGAAACAAGTCAAATATCAACGTTTAGTATCACTGTTATAACGATTTTTAAGTTGTAGTTTGAAATGTTCACATTTGTTGAGATTAATTAATTGTCCAATCAATAAAATTCATATTGTATTAAATTCATGTCTCTTCTCATCTTTTACCTCGTTATAAAGTATTTATTGAATAGGCCTATCTAATTGGCTGGTTGAATATCTAATTACCTGGTTAGTTCTTGTCTTTATCCTGAAGGTCTTAGATATACCTTTAGGTGTTCTTTTGTGTTTTCATTCGTATACTTATCATCACATAAAGTTTAACTATAATGCAGTTATCAGTAACCAAAATAGTAGGTGCCGAAACTGTTTGGGTTGAATGTGATCACTACACTTTTTTTGTGCCGCCCTGTTTAAGAAAAATAATTATACCATTCCAGAGGTTTTAAGCTTAAAATAAAAATACATGTAAACAAACTTAAATTAACCATCTCTGTGTTTTTTACAAATCGTTTCTCTTCACTGGGAAATAATTTGTAACTGTTTTAACAACCCTAAAAATGTATCTCAACACAAATTATTCTCTATTTGAAATTGTTGGTAAAATCCTTTGATTATTAATAGAACCTCTGTGTCCAATAATCAATGGTAAAAACCATTTTAAAGCTTGATGGTGAGGGTCAATGGCAATATAATGATGACTCAGCTCAATTTTGTGAACGCGTCTACGAACGCCACCTACTATAGTTATTAATATGTATTACCATGTTTTATCTATAGTATTACCTTGTTATCTACGGTTGGTGTATAATTTGTTATACAAATGCTCCTGCATTTGTGGTTTTATTATATTAATTATTAAAGCCGTAAATCATGCTGTTAATGTACTTTCATAAAACACTGAAGAGATTGTATATAATTATTCTTACACACACTAATCATGAACCAATCACAAACTAAAAACTGTGCATATAGGAAATGTACTATGGTTAAAAAAAAACTTCGAGTTCTCAAAATCCAATTTATTTTACACTGTACATTATAATGTTTAAGAAACTAATGTGCGATAATGTGACAATAATGAAATAGATAATTAAACAATCGAGGTTTGGCGTTCCTCAATAAAAAAGTTAAATAAGTTTACTACAGTGAATTTGTGCTAACTCACACTGTACGAACCTCTATAGTCTATGATAACAATTACCAACTAGGCCTAGGCCTTCTGTACACAAGCAGGTTCAATAAATAAGTTTATTTACAGAGTTTAACAAAAGTTTATTTTCTATATACATTTGTTAGAAAGATACTTAAGCAAACTATTCTAAATAAACTGAATAAAAAAATAATACATTTATAATATTTATATCAATGCTACTAGCCCAAACACTAATGCAAACCAGTTTATATCACTAAAACGGAAACTATATTAACTTTTTTTTAATAAATACATGTTTTACTTTCTGAAAGTAGCAAGATATAAAATAATTCACTTTAAACTTATTTCATAAGCAGTAACACCACCATGTTTTGAATTGAAATATAATTTGCATCCAACTTTATATTGATCAATTACCGTTAAATATATAACTTATACTAATTTAAATAAAACAATGATAATTGATTGGCATTATCGTAACAGTATATTACAAAGTATAACTAGTGCTAAGAATACTACTTACAAATAAGTATACAACTTCTTGAAATTTACACATATGAATTAATTACAGATATATAAGTTGTACATTTTATCTTTTAGTTTATAGTTAGGAACGTATACTATCAATAGACTATACATACACATAATAATTCAAGCTACAATATATTCTTTAAACAGTGACTAGACAAAATATGACTAAATACTGTATTGAACACATTTAGTTTAGGATGTGTGTAATAATAGATAATGTAATACTTCAAATACATGCTGTACAATATCACTAGCATAAATAGAATATGACTGAAATCTGTACAGTTATAAGGTTGTTTATCTATAAATAAATAAATACTATTAAATGAATAAATACTGTGAAATATAATATAACTTAATGACTAGATGCTGTACAATATGACTAGGATATGTAAACTAAGGGGCCCGAACAGAGATCATAAGTGACGACTAAGCGGCCAAAATATTCACTGTCTTCGGCGTATACATACAGTAAATGGCCGTTAGTATGAAATATCTGCCAACATACGGATCAAATACACTAACGTTTAAAATTGCATTTTCATCAAACATGCTTAACATGTTATGATTTAGTTTTAAAATTATCGATCAATACAATATCTAACAGTTTAATGTAAACTAAAGTCAAGAGTTTTTTTTACTCTTACTAAAATGCGTCCTAAATATTGTAAATTATTATTAAAAATTTTATTTGCATGATTTAACAAGTACTACGATAGTAGTTGATAGTAGCTATTCATTGTTTTGAAATATTGCTTGGTTGGGTTAATATGTAAAGGTGTTATTGTTATTATTGAATGTGTTTTTAATCTTTGTGTTTATAGGATTTTTGACAAGTTACAAAGATTGATTAAAGTATTTCGGCATTTTAGATGTTTATTTCGTTGAGTTAATAGTTAGATAAGATAAAGAAATTAAGAATCCCTAATGACATGTACTGTAACTACACCCCTAGACAGTGAAATGACTAGTCCGCGCGTCTGACTAGATGTTCGGGTTGACTACGAGTTGACTAGATAACACTCATATGCGCGTACAGTACGCGCACCTCTGCTTAAAACTATATCACATGTTTAGGACTAAACTAGACTAGAGCTACAATGCTACATTATACACTACGACTACAACATTATACTCAGAGAGTTGACACAGGTTGATCAATACAATATGGGCAATGGAAAACACTATTTAAAGATAATTGTGGTGAACAGTTAAGACGATTTTGTGAGTTTAAATATATACACTTCCCAACAGTGTGCTTAAATACAGATGGATTGCTGTAACATTTTCCCCAATAAGTATCAAACATATTAAATGAAATGGATTTTTAATATTCCTATTTACAACTTATAATGGTGAATATGTTAAAAATGTATATAATGTATGGTGTTTGTTCATAATTATATATGCTTGCAGTATTATAGGAGCCTTTTTGGCGTAAAATAACAGAATTTTAGTGGAGTGTAGAATAATATTGTTGGTTTAGTAGGTATAATGGTGATTCGTTCAATTATATTTATGCTTGCAGTATTTTAGGAACTTTTTGGGGTAAAAATAACAGAATTTTTTGGCGGAATGTAGAACAATATGGTTGTTTTGGTAGGTCTAATGAATATTAAAAGCATTTTAAATTGATGAACACAATTCAAGGGTTTCTTATCTACGTAAGCGAAAATTTGATTTATAACAATTTAGTCTTTAAATCACAGGGTTTTAACTGAATATTAATTTACTTGACCTTTTAAAATATATTAGATTGCATCCAGTAATCTATAAAACGCGAATGGAATTGAATAGCTTAAATTTTATTTTTTGGCTTGACTATATACATAATAAATAGATATAAAATGCCCTTGGGATAACAAAACTACAAGCTGAACTGGCAACGATCCCTAACAGCTGTGTGGTGCAAACACCGCGCCGCGCCTTCAGTCCAACCCACCGTGCGAGTCTCTGGCTATTTCGCTGATATACACACACATATTGTTACCGTACAAACTGTGATACGTATTGGTATTTGTTGTTGTAAAACTGCCCAGTATTTGTTAAGATTAAGCTATTGACATATGGTATCCAAAAACCGTTTTAGCATATCTGCAGTTCTAGTTTGTTAGTTTTTAATGTTGAATTCTGTATCAAAACTTAGAAAAAAACTACTGTATGACTTATATAACAAAAAAAATAGTTACCGGTAATCGGAAAATATTCATGTAAAATATATGTATTAAAACTGAAATGTTACTTTAAAAATACTGTACAATGAAAATTACGTATTTTTGTATGTTTTAACAAATGTGTATGACAGTAAGGTAGCCCCAATGAAATGGATTGGACCTGACGGATGTATTTAAATATGATGTTTTAATAGTTATTTACACCTAGATACACTATATACATACACTAAATCTGATATTGAAAGACTAATTAATTAACGACTAGAAGAATTTATTGAGATCGTTGAATATATAATTCCAAATAAAAATATTCTAATAGTTTCAATGTAATATTAGTTATGTAGAATTCTTAATTAATTATGCTATAGGAAAACTTAATTAAATATAATATTTATATTATGACTAGAATCCACCGACTTAAATTTAAATGTACATATAAAAAAATCTGACTAGATACTGTACACTAAAATGACTAGACACGTTGACAAGACTAGATATAAGAATATATTTACATTGACTAGAGATAGAACTTCTGATATGACTAGATACCCTGACTAGAGAGGCTAACATGACTAGAGACAGTAAGCGTGGATTGTTATAGTGGCTGCGACTGAGGACTCACCAGAGGTAGAGGATGACTGAGGAGATGTTTCCTGAGGTAGGCCTGACGTCGGAACATCTTGCCACAGACGGGGCAAGGTATGTGTGGAGAGTCACCGTCGCGCTCAGTGAGGGATGTCTTGGAGGTTGGCGCGCCGCGAGGTCTGTGCCAGCGCTGATGACTCGCCAGGTTGGCCGGACAGTTGAACACCTTGTCACACTCTGGACAGCGGTACTCGACGTGGACTATCCTCGAACACCTGTGCTGGGCCAGACTGAAGGCGTCGTCGTACATCTCCTTGCACAGTCTGCAGATGTAGTCTCCGATGCGGTTCTCTATCTTGGCCAGCTCCGCCTTGGCCTCCTCCGTCACCTCCACGACGTTGTAAGCGGGGTCGATGTCGCCCTTCCTCACCACCAGGGGAGGGTCGTCGTCTTCCAGTCTCTTGATGATAGTCCCCGAGACGGGAGATGTGGTGTCCTCGTCGAAACTCAACTTCCTCACTGCTTTCTTGGCGAGGGACTTCCAACATTTCTTCGGAGGTGAAGGTTTGCCGGGAGATGTCCTTGGCTCCTCCTCGAACGTTCGTTTCCTGCTAGGAGGTGAGGACGGAGACGGTGTAGCTGGAGGTGTGATAGGAGCGCTCGACTTGAGCGAGAGGTCCAGAGGTGGTGGAGTATACGGCTCCGGGTAGAAACAGAGTCGAGGATCGAACCTGAGTCTCTCCACCAGCGAGTGTAGCGGGTTGAACGGTAGAGGGTGGAAGGCACTGAGAGCGTCGTCGTGGCCGGGCAGACCCAGCCGCTTGATGAGGAAGCCGCGCGGCATGACCGCTCGCAGCCACTGCTGCACAATCACTGACTTACACACACTACTCGGCTACATCGTACTGTGCCGCCCTCAGGTCGCGCATGCGCACATATACACCCAGGGGGCGGAGCCTCGCCTCCCATTGGCCCGTCCCACAACAATGTCTCCACAACAATAATGCACGTTCCCGCCAGCGCGTGCCGCCGCAGCTGCCTCCCAACTACCCCTTCACCCTCCAACCCTCTCATCACATGTTTATCAAACACATGAATAATCACATATCTCCACTGTATTACCAAAAACATACAGTATATCAGCGTTAATGCACAATCATATGATTTTATAAACTACAATGTGAAAACAACAATAAAAACCGTTGTAAAACCATAGTTTATAAATCTCTCAGGAACAAACTGTCAAATTAAAAAGTATTAACAACTCCAATTGATATATTATTTAAATTCTTCCAAAATGTAAACATTGAAACTTTGGAAGCCCAAGGGAAATGTGAAATTAAATGATTGCATTGTCATCCATTTGTGAGCTATGTTTCAAGTTTCTAGTCTCTAGCTCATCGGGAAGTTAGGTTAAAATCGATTGCAAAATTTGTACCAAACAGACAAGAAAGCGAGCTAATAAAAATGTTTTATAAAGGAATCAAATTATAGATAAAACAAAATTTAACAGCCGATGCATCTCCAATATTTTAAATTTGATTAAATACAACCCTTTAATTGATGTTCGTGATATCTATATACATAGCAAACTTTTGATTTTCTCTTGATAAATCGAGAGTTGGTTTAAGGGGACTCCTCAAATCGGAGAAAGAATTACTGCTCAAAGAAATAAAGTGACCCCACTTAAATTTGCTTCAGACACATCATTATTATTAGTAAGGCAACACTCATTTTCAATTCTTATGCTTTGTTGCAATATATTACAGACATGTTCACTAGAATTGAAGGTGAATGTTTAGCATTAATCAGAAGTAATCAATGAAAACGGAGAGCAGAAATGTAGGTAAACAAGATATATTCAAAATCAATTTCTATCAAGTTTTTTAATAACTTTAAGAATTTGTCTACAATTTATTACTCAAATTCATTCGACAAGTTTTCCTCAACGTTGTGTTTCTTACTATGCGGCTCATTGAGCCGGTGGATTTCCAAGTTTCTTGATATTTTACGGGGAAGTTTCATACCATAACCTTCCATTCAAGTACGATTGCTAGGTGGCGGCTTAACGGGGTTCTCCGTTATATTTATAGATGGCGAAATTTAGCACTCTCATAGTATGGGAAGGATATCTGAAATGGTACGAATCGGAAACTTTTAGAAATGTATCATGGGACTTGCGTGTTGATTGGTCGTTATGGCAGTACAGTATTAGCTTTGACTATTAATACAACGTATCTAATAGTATCAGTATCCAATAGTCAATGGAATTAGTAAGACTAGTGAACCTGTGCGGCTCAATGCCCCGCAAAATAACATATGAATTTAGAAAACAAAGTCATCGTGTTATATATTGACTCGACGTCGAAAATTAAATACAGTAATGATAAAGCCTTAAAAGCGAAGCAGTCCAGCCATTTTCTAGCTGAATGTGTATTATATTTAGTAAATTAATAAGTGTTGAAGTTTAAGTATGTTATAGGGTAGTTATTTTTTAAAGATTTTTAAAAACAGATTCAACAAACAATTTGATCATATCAAACCAATAGGCCTGTGTAGCATATTTTGAGGGTCATAAAATGCTGCTTGAAGAAAACACTTAAAAAAATAAACACTACAAAACAAAATTTTTTTTCACAAAAGCACTTCCATGAATACTACGATTTTAGTCATAAAGTTACCTTCAGGAATATTACCCAGGTCAGAATTTTCCGTATTGAATATGCGTATCCTACTAAAAGATGTTGCCTTACTTAAAACAACATATAATATAGTTGCTCATGCACTGAAATTGGTCTGTGTAAGAACAGTGCTGCTCTTTAATTAAAGTGCTTGTGCTGCAAATGCCAAAGATAACAGAAATTAGCATCTTTCCATTTTAAAAGGTAAGTTTGTTTCAGACGGGCAAATCTTTATCCTCGAAATCAAAATTTGTCCCCACTCACTTGTTCCAGTTAGGACTTTTCATTCTATTAAGTTGTTGACCGTTCTGATCACATGAAGCCTTATCCCATTAATGAGGCCCATTTTGATGTATTAATATTCCTCATCAATAAAACCACTGCCCCCTTTTATTAGTCTAATCTGTGTCTTGGCAATCCACTGACCTCTATTTTATATTTAAAAACTCAGTTGGATTTTCTAGATGGGTGTCTCCGCCTTCGTCTGTTTTCGAGGACCCGCTCTTCTTTCCCTTGGTATACTGACAATAAATTGTCAAGTCCATGTAGTAATTCATTAATACTGTTAGTTTATAAAGAAAATTAGATAAAAGTTACTTGGCTTAGTGCTATCATAACTGCAAACTCAAAATACACCCACAAGTAAAAAAGAATCAAGTTATTGGTTAACAAAAATTATGTTTGTGTAACAATATTATTCACATGAAGTAGATGATTTGTTTGATTTGTTGATCAGCAGTTTAGTTTCAAATGAATTAATATTGTCAAAGATTTGTGATTTTAAATACATAAATTATTATATTAAAGTTTTCTAAATCATGGTAACTTATTCTCAACTGAATTTTACCATTCCCAGCATTAAAATAAAGTAGTAAGATCCATTATGAGTAAACTTTAAGGGACACAATCCTTGATTGAAATGTAATATACATTCAGTCATAATACTCAGCAATTATTATGTAGTAGACTTTGACTATTTTCAAGAAACAAACATATGTTTCTGTAAATAAAAATTATCTCCCATGTTATCCTTATGGAGAAATACGAAACTTTAAAGGGCCCCAGGGCCTCACTCTCTAATTATTTCCCTAAAAAGAAAGTTTCCTGCGCAACTTCAAGTTACGCTCTTTCCAATGACACCAAAAACATGTCAATCGGTTCAGTAGTTTCGGAGGAGTAATTGTCACAAAAATCCTGCTTGCGTATTAAATAAGTAAGATCCATTATGAGTAAACTTTAAGGTACACAATCCTTGATTGAAATGTAATATACATTCAGTAATAATACTCAGCAATTATTATGTAGTAGACTTTGACTATTTTCAAGAAACAAACATATGTTTCTGTAAATAAAAATTATCTCCCATGTTATCCTTATGGAGAAATACGAAACTTTAAAGGGCCCCAGGGCCTCACTCTCTAATTATTTCCCTAAAAAGAAAGTTTCCTGCACAACTTCAAGTTACGCTCTTTCCAATGACACCAAAAACATGTCAATCGGTTCAGTAGTTTCGGAGGAGTAATTGTCACAAAAATCCTGCTTGCGTATTAAATAAGTAAGATCCATTATGAGTAAACTTTAAGGTACACAATCCTTGATTGAAATGTAATATACATTCAGTAATAATACTCAGCAATTATTATGTAGTAGACTTTGACTATTTTCAAGAAACAAACATATGTTTCTGTAAATAAAAATTACAGTAATGTAATGCAAGACACCATGCTGTAAGAGCAATGATCGCAGAAGAACTACGAAAAAAAGGCTGGCAAGTAGTAGAAGAAATACATTGCACTGAAGATGGTGGATCGAACAGAAGATTGGACATTTTAATTTATGATACAAAATCTAAAAGTGGAATTGTAATTGATCCAACAATAAGGTTCGAAACATCAACAAACCAACCCCTAGAAGTAGATGAAGGAAAGAGGAAAATTTATAGTAAATGTGAAACTTATTTAAGAAACAAATATAATCTAAATTCAATATCAGTAATTGGCATAATGATTGGTGCAAGAGGGACTATTACAAAATTTTTTTAAGAAATTTTTAAAAAAATATAATCTTCCATCAAAATTAAAAAATGAAATAGTCATAAAAGTGCTAAAAGAATCATGTAAAATCATTCAAAATCATTTATATGGACAACGTTATTAATCTATGTTACATGTTATTTATATCGTAAATTTAAGTTTTTTTTTTTACTGTGTCTAATAGGCAAAGTTTATTAATAAACTCAGTTTTCAAAATAAATAATAAATAAATAAAAAAGTAAACAAAATAGTAGTAACATTTTTATCAGCAAATCATCTAAACGAACACATTAAAAATACAGAAAAATGGGAGAACAATCGAATTAATACCACTGAGCATAATTTACTACAAAATGAATAACCAATTAGGCTTAAGCACCATTGACTTTAGATTCTATCTACGTGAACCATACGTACCATTATAGATTACTGCAAGTAGACATCTCATTTACGTAAAACAGATGTAGCATTGACTATGGAAAAGTATTGGATGCTTGCTCCGCTCAATATTTCAAGCAGACAACTGCATTGTACATTTAGTTATTTGATATATATACAGAATATAAATCAAAACTAGAAATAGCGAATCCTCATAAACTATAAATTTTGTTGAAATGAAATATGTCTTGGGCAATTTTACTGATTGCCAATGTTATTTATAAATACATATCTCGACATAAGTTGGATTATGTTTGCCCAGGGTATGCCTGCAAGATGTGGTTATATGGCATTCTATCAGAGTGTCGTTGTAGACGTCTTAAGAATTGACATTGATCTTAAAATTTAGGGTTAAAGTTGTAGCCAAATGGGGAGTAGCAGCAAATTGTAAGTAGTATGATTGACATATAATACTCGTATATTTTTAAAATAGTGCTCATCAGTATAAACAGGGGCAACGACCAGTTATGTAAAAAGAAGTTACACAGGGTTTGTGTGTTCCAGTACACATTGTCGTTTTTAAATTAGCATATTTCAATATTTTCTAATAGTAATTAGTGTGTATGTATGTTATACGTTAGCCAATATAAAGCATCATTGGTTTATCCTCGCTGGATAATCACATTGAACGATAACTTTCTCGAAATGCTATCAATACATCTTAAAGGAATTTCAATAACGACACCAAAACCTACAAAGCGTGTAAAGTGATTGCTGTGTGGGAGACTGGGGAGGCGACGGGACAACTGATAAAGTCGTCTACATCATTGTCACATTGTCAATTACATGACCCCCTCCCCCTTCACAGCTCTTCCATTACACCGAGAATTTGTACACATTCCTCCCACAGATTGAACTGTATAACTATAGCCCAGTCTCCTCATAATGTCACAGCTTCATCA